TCTTTCAACAGAGCAGTGAGTTTTATACCCCTTTGCCGCTAACAGGCTCCGCCCCTTCTGAGGTGATCGGCCCTATGAAGGCCGATCTCCTGCATGTTTTAGATTTTTCTCTGATCATTGGATCAGAAAAGTTAGTTTGTTGATTTCTCTTATCTAGCAACTCTCTCTATGTCTGACACATAAAGAGAAGATCAACTAATTTTAGGACCTGTTTACACTAGACCAGTCTCTGGAAATACTAATGTTTACTGGGGTCAATATCCAAAAAATCACCCAATTACTTGGAACAACTGCAGTAATGTATCAGACGAGGTTGTAGTAAAGTGTTTTATTGTTCTCCTAAAATTATCATATTTTGAGTCACAAAAGATATGCTGTATACGACTCACTCAGTCATAAATGCTGCATGAGAGACTTCTAAGATATGGTGTGTGGTGTTTGGTGAAAATGTGCACTGGAAAGAGGAGCAAAAAAAATCACAATTTTTAATCTGGCAACCCTGATGCCAGTCTCACTCATGTGCTGATCATGCAGCAGCTGCATGATATTTCGAACCTGGTGAATAAGCTAATGTTCCATTGGAACTAGGATGCTCTTTGTAATTTGCTTTTACAAGCTGCAAAGGGTGAGTAACACAAAAACCCTCAGGTGTCCATAATTTATTGTCATTGTTGTTAGTTTAGAAGAAACTTTTGCTGTCTGTCGGTGGTTTGAACATACATGCGCTGCTGGGTGCTTCTCAAAATGTCCACTCTGAGACCAGGATTCAGAAATCTCCAGGTTCAGAGAAACACAGTTGGTGTCGTGTACACGATCGGCCGAACCACAGAAAAGAACCTGTGGTTTCACACAAAATCTGCATCGTGTGAACAGGGCCTTAGATTGGATCATGACCAGAGGTAGCAGTTCAACAATCTGAGTCAGCTTTGGAACTTATAAAATGTCAAAAATGGAGCCAGCTRTCAAAGAGTGATGAAGTCAATCTTAAACCAGCTTGGACATTTTAGTTGTTCTCCTCTTGAACAGAATCCTCAAGGTACATCAGGCGCCACCACTGCCTTGCAGACAAAAGGATGCACAAAGCACTGAGAGGTCAGGAGCTCTTAAGTTTTCACAATCAGCTAATTTTATCATTCTGTGTGACCCTTGAAGGGAAGGACAACTGGTTTTAAGTTGGACCATGACCAGAGGCACGTTAACCCCACCTTAGACCAGTGCTCTGTGATGGTGGAGGTCAGGACTGTGGGGTGTGAAACAGCAAAATGGGAACCATTGAAACTACCTGCTGGTGGCCGATATTTGGCAAAAGTGTCACTAGAAAACCACAAACACACAAATACAAACACTTCACTTAAATAAAGCATTTTCATAATGACTGAAGCTAACACAGTTACTTGATTATGGTATAGAATTGAATCATGTGCATTACTACAGTATAAATTTTATATCAGTATTATGTATTTATTTTTTTATTTGAGACTATTACAGAAAGGTTATTTATTTTCAGTGTTACAGTTGTTCTTACAGGCCTGAAGCAGGCTCAACTGGGCGGCACTCAAGCTAACACAGTTACTTGATTATGGTATAGAATTGAATTATGTGCATTACTACAGTATAAATTTTATATTAGTATTATGTATTTATTTTTTTATTTGAGACTATTTTTTTAGTTTATTATTATTTCAGTGTTATAGTTGTTTTTATAGGCCTGAAG